AATATATGATTGGTTCGGAGAGGCTAACCGAAGGTAAGCTTTTCCGCATACTAACCTAAGTAAGAAGTGTACCTTCTCATAAATTATGCATGAAAATAGTACCTTGGTGGCATAAATTATGATCTACTACTTTTCACGACTCATAAATAATGTGATAATATTTATGACCATTACTGTAAGTGCCATTTATTTTTCGGCGGCCCTGAGTGCAACACGATATGCATTTTCTCCAATCCGCTTCTCAACTGGAAATGGCCCGTACCACTTGGGCAATAGTTTGTTACGATTTGAGTCGCGCTCTGGGTCGTAGTCCGGCTGACGAGCTCAGTGCTCATGACCCGCGTGTCCACGTACACCAAGTCACTTTCTTTCAACTGCACTTGTTGTCGTCCTCTGTTGTAGTAATGGGCCTGGCGTTCCCGAGTTAGTCGTAAGTTACGCTGCGCCAACTGAATTGTTTCTTGACGCGATCAAGTCATGTTTTGTGCCAAATTTCCCGACGTTGCCACAGCTATCGGACAGCGAGGCTCTCGTCCACAATCTCCCTCGAGCGGGGAGATGCGAGTCGAAGTTGACACTAACATAGCATGGGCATATTCCACCGTCGGTAACATCTTCACCCAATTGTCTCCATAACGAGAAACAACACATCGTAGACTGTCCTCCAGAGTTCTAATCTGCCGTTCACTTCGTCCATCGGCCTGGGCCGTTCGAGACACCGTCTTTCGTTGTTTCACTTGCATGATCGTCATCAACTCGCACCAAAAATTCACTCGTAAACCTTGGATCTCGGTCCAACACAGTTGACTCAGGCAGAGAGTAGTAGCGAACGACATGATCAAAAAACAACCTCGCTGTTGTCTTGGCGTCGACATCCTTGGTAGTGGAAATATAACATGGTCTGTTTGAGAGTCGACATACAATCACATAAATTGCATCAACACCTACTCGGTGGTAGCGCGGTAACAAAGTCCATAGTCACATACTGCTAACAGTAATCTGGAGAAGGAAACGACTGAAGCAATTCTTTGCGTTGCTGAGATCCAGACTTGTGCCGCACACAAGCTTCAGCTGAGATGTACTGCGGAATGTGCGACCGCATTCCTGACCACCAGAAATACTGACGCATCGCCACCATCGTACGTTCCACACTAGAATGTGCCACCTCTGCAGCATCGTGAAAGTCGTGCATTAGCCAGAGTAGAATTGAATCAACTTGAGAAACACGAAGTACTCGGACCGCATCTGTGCTTTTCACCGCTAAACCCCCATCGAGAACTTTGTACTTTGCACATGTCCGCTCCTCCTGGCGTTATAAGCTTTGCAGAATCGTAACACAGTCCTTATCGTCTGCGTATGCTGCTTTGATGTCTCGTACAAATTGATCTTCCTTCCCCACCATCAAAAGAGACGCGTGCCCGAGAGATGCCACATTCGCCGGTTGTGCAGGAAATGTTGGTACAAAAGCTGCTGCTCCCTCAATAAGAAGCTTGACAGCCCTGGTAAGAAAACGCGATTTGAAGACGAATGAACCGATTTTTTGTGATGCAAACCGGAGGATGAGAAAGCGCATCTGCCACAACATTTGAGCTATCCTTCTTGTGCACGAGCTCAAAATCAAACTGACCGAAAAATTCGAGCCAACGAGCCATCTTCGGATATAAGTTTGGGTGTTGCAAGAACCAGCGGCACGCCGAGCTGGCAATGTGGACCACGAAATGGTTTCCCAGCAAATAGCATTTCCAGCGTCCGAGACGATGTTTTATGGCGTATAGCTCCTGCTCGTGTGTGGCCCACTTGGTCTCTGTATCCGAAAGCTTGCGATTGTACAAGCTAACAGGATGATCGAACCCATTAACTTGCTCACTGAATACACCCCCAACACACGACTTTGAAGCATCCGTAGTAACTCGAAAAGGCAAGTTCATGTCTGGTAAGCACACGATAGATGCCGAAATGAGCGTCTTCTTGATGGTATAGAATGCGAATTCTTGATCGAAGCCTCACTTCCACTCCGTCATACTCTTCAAGAGATTGAAGAGAGGTAAAACGAGATCAGAATAACTCCGTTCAAATCGTCTGTAATACCCAGAGAGTCCCAAGAATCTCTGCAGGTCCTTCCCATTATGCGGTCGCGCCCAATTTGCTATCACCGTAGTTCTGTCCAGATCAACTCGCACACCCGCACCACTTACGACGTGCCCCAGGAAACGGATCTCGCCCTGAGCAAAATGATACTTACTGGGTCTCGCATAGAGTTGCTCGCTGCGCTGAATTTTAAATACTCGTCGCAAATGCTGCAAGTGCTCTGTCCGGTTTTTCGAAAGCACTCAAATATCGTCTAAATAGACGACAGCAAACCCGGCGAGCTCCTTGTTCTCGAAGATTCGACGCCTTAAACGCGACCATGTTCCAGGTATCCCTGCCAGGCCCATGGGAGCGACACACAATTGGTAAATCTCTGATCCAGTATGAAAAGCAGTGAACTGACGCGAGTCAAATGCCATCCGCATTTGATGATACCCGAGGCCAGGTCAATCAACGTGAGCACATGAGTTCCAGCCAGGCGATCAAAGATCTCGTCGATCCTGGGAATGGGAATGCTTTAAATGTTGGTGGCCGAATTAACGTACCGATCATCGATAACCCACCGCACAGGTTTCTACGGATCACCACTGTATCTTCGTCGGCAATTGCCCCGTCACCGGATCCCGTTCAGGAACAGCAAAACTATTTGAGACCCAGGGAGACGAGCTGCGCTCAATCCACTTCTTCTGCAAAAGCTTGTCGACAAAAACTTTCAAGGCTGCCTTCGCAACGTGTGCATGCCGAAACGGAGGCCTGGAAGACGGAACTGCACCTTGCTTCAACTGAACAGAGTGCTCGATATCGCGCTCTGGAGGCAGCCTTTCGGGACGTTCTTCGCGTAGTGAGTCTGCAAGTTCTCGAATCAAGCTGGAACCATCAGCATCAGGCTTCACCTTGCCATTATCTGCCACAACATCGAGATGGTACACTTCAGCGTACATTACAGACTTCAGATTACGTTGGAACTCCTCGGCATCAACGTACTCGATGGTAGGCTCGTTGCTAGGAGGTGGTGTCCAATCACAAGGTAAATTACGACGAGTAGGACGTCGCCATAATACAGTTTGGGCAGACCAGTCGATGTCGGGAATTTCACGAGAAAACCATGAGAAAGCCAAGAATGCCGTCAAAATCTTGCTGTAATGGCCACTGGACGTCTACCAAAATAGTAGTATGTACCCGCCATATCCACAGGTGATAAGGCGGCTTAAAAACAGATATATGTCAGCATATCGTAAGTGACGTCTACCACAAATGCTTTATGCGTGCAATTTTGTCCTGAAAACAATGTCCCTATTTGTTTGAAGTTAATATACTGAAGTGTAAAAGTATACCCGTCAGTTCTACTCGGACAAAATACCATTAAGATCATTCCATTTTTTTTATCTCATTCAAATTCATTCAACATTTCGGCAATTGGGGATGGCGGACGACGAGGGCTCCACGACCTTACTGCTCTGTTCGAGCGAAGCGCTCATGAAGTACGAAAGGGATGCGATGGATGCGCAAGATGAGCTGTTTCCGCTCCTTCTGAAGGAGGTCCGGAAGGTTGCCATGCGATCCCAGCACTATCGCACAGTGCAGTGCCTCGACAAGCTGGTGGAATCTGCCTGGATGGCGCTGTATACGGCTGGCAACGACAAGAACTTCTTGAATGTGACGAATTAACCCGGTACGAGGCCTTTCCCTGTTTTAAATAAGCCGATGTATCGCTAACTTGCTACTGATACAGTACTGCGTTTGCTCAGTTGCTTGCTCGGTTTGGGCAATTCTACAGGATCCCCCCACCGTCGTCGAGGGGGAGACCCCCAAAGCTCCAATACCTTCAGCAAGTGCTGGCTCTAGTTCTGTGCTACTATGTGGGCTCCATGGAGAGCTTCACACTATGTCTGTTGTTTGGAGTGCCGCCTACCACACTGTCACGTACTCTGAGAAGAGCCGAAAAGGCGTTGGCGACGGCGTTGAAAGGCTACAGGCCTGCTCGGATCGCATGGCCATCACCCACTCGTCAAGCAGAGCTGGCTCGGATGGTAGAGACCAGACAACCCCTACTCAAACACACTTTTGTCTTTAGCGACGGAAAAAACCTCCGGGTATGTTTACGGTGCTATTGGTTTTATTTTATTTGTTACCTAACGAGTACTGATGCTATTGGCAGGTTATGCAGCCATCCAACGAGACCTTCAGAACGCCATGTACAATGGCTAGCTTCATGCCGTATTTGTCACTGGAACAATTTGCTTTGCGGCAGATGGCTGCATCATCTGGAGCCGCCAAAATTGCCCTGGTTCCTGGAATGATGCCGATACATCACTGGGTTTCCGCAACACGCTTTTGGACCCCTCCTGCTGCCCGGACACCCGAATGAGCGTGGTCTCTGACTCTGCATTCCCGTGTTCAACTGAGCTGACCGGCCGCATTTTAACACAGCTAAAGGACGGAGATATTGATCGGATCTTTCCCTCTCTACGGAGTGCTGCCAGGACAGCACAGCGCTTTAACCTCCGTGCGCCAGGCTGCGGAGAGGGGAATGGGCAGCAGAGGGGAATGGGCAGCATCCAGAAGGTGTACAGTCGCCTTAACCTCCCTCTGCCCTACGATCCTGATCTCCGCGGTCTACAAATCAGCAGCATGTTTCGCTTGGCTAATTACAGGGTAAGAACCGTTGGTATTTTTTCAAATCCGAGCCACCTTCAGCGGCGAAATGGAGATGACAATTTGAACAAGAAAGTTTTGGCTGTAATAGTTGAGTTAACCGAGGCTTACATGAAATCGAACGCTACGTATGAAGGGACCTTGTTGTGATCTGTTTGATCCGGGTTTCGTCAAAGCTCTATAGCACAGCACTTCCCAAGGAGCGTCTCGCTCGTGACCATGAGCATATCTCGGCGCAAGGATGAGCGTCCTTCCAGCTAGGGTTTCTTCGTCAAGGCTACAATAATCATCGCCAGCTCTTGGGTGCGTGCACGAGCATCCTCATGGTCACGCTGAGCCCGTTCATCTCTCTCCACATTCTCCTGGAGGCGACGCTCTTCAGCCTCCTTCTTCTCGTCTCTGTAGCGCTCTTCATGGGCGAAAAATTCATCGCGGCGGCGCTTTTCTTCATCGGCACGGCGGGCATCTGCTTTCGCCTCGTTTTCCTAGCGAAGGAGAATCATCATTTCCATCATGCCCCCTCCCCCCCCCGGCTTGACGAAGCAGTCTGGATCGAGGCCATCTTCTGTTTGAGCGTGTCCGTTGCTTTTACGTGTAATAGACCCCTCCATTACATAAGTAGGTAAATTTCTTTACATATGTAGGTGCATCAGCACACGACTAGCGTGTGCTGAAATGCTGTCATGCCATTGGCTGATATATGGGGAGCCAGACCCATTATTAGCCAATTGGACTATGACGCGTATTTGAGTGGCCAGGGCTATGGCCTTCGTCCTAAAATAAAGTCAGAGTTGATTTTTCCTTAAACCTAAGACTCAGTCGTCCTATTGCGAGCTTCCTCAACACTATAGTGTAAGCAAGTAACGGAGTAAATACCTTGCCCGTTACACCTGGTAGCACTTCGTAGTCCTTCCAACGACCAAGTTCGACATGAGCCAAGACCGCGACCACGCCGCTTTCCTCCATCTCACTCGGATCGAGTGGGAAGCTCTCCACCGCCTCGCGGCACAAGAATTCATGGAGCGCGAGCTCGCCGATGCGAATCGGCGAGTGTCAACTCCCTTGCGTATCTCCACGAATGACGTCGTGAAGCTAGATACGTCCACCTACTCCGGTGCCGGAGAAGATCAACTTCCGCTGAATCGCTGGTTTCGAGTGATCGCCATCGCCTCGAGGTTGATCGAGGCGCCTTCCGCGAAGGTCCATTTCCTCCTTTCGCGGCTGTCTGGGAAAGCCAAGGAATGGGCTCTCGGCAAGTTGGTTGTCGATCCCAACGTCTTCCCCACGCTGGATACCCTCCAGAGTGACCTTCGGCTCGCGTTCGAGCCGCCGCAAGATGAATCCCGAATTCGTGCAGACTTCTTCGCCCTTCGGCAAGGCACGATGACTATGCGCAACTACGTCCAGAAGACACGACACCTCGCGTCGTGCATCGTGTCTAAGCCGATCGATATGGCCTCTCAGGCTCATGTGTTCGTGTTCGATATGCGCGAAGGCATGACGCGCTACTGCCTTACAAGATCGGACCCATCTACGCTCGAAGAGACATTCGCCCTCGCCCTACGCGATGACTACGTGGTTGCGGCGTCATTCGCTCACGCGCTACCTGCTTCAGCTCGGGATTCTGCGCCTGAGACCATGGACATCGACGCTATCGATGCGACGAGCAATCGCCAGCGTCATGTAGCGCGTCGGAGCGATGCTCGGAGCAGTCGTTCTCTCACCTGCCTCCGCTGCCGGAAGGTCGGTCATCGCGCGGCAGAGTGCCGCACGCCAGCTCCAGTGCTTGCGCATGTCGATGCCGAGCCCATGGGTTCTGACCAGCCAAAAAACGGTCAGGGTCAGTAGGTGCGGGGCGCCCTACTGGCTGGAATGGAGGTCCGCCCCCCGGTGGCAACCCAAACTCCTAGCCCTCCTGTGCTGCATGCACACTTTCATGCCACCACCACGCCGAGCGATTCAAGATTTGTCATTGTCAGTCTTCATGTCGCCGGTGCCCGGCGACCACAGAGAGCGCTCCTTGATTCAGGAGCGACCAACAACTTCTTCCGCGCGTCGTGCTTGTTGGTACTCCCGTCGGACATCACTGTCCGCAAAGGTAGAGGGGAGGTCGCTGTCAAGCTGGCCGATCAAAAATCACGCCGCGTCGCGCGGCGCGAGATTACACTTCTGTTCACGTTCGGCGGTTTCCGAAGCAACGACGACTTCCCAGTCATAGAGATAAATTACGCGTTTGCCTGCATCCTGGGTATGCCGTGGTTGACGCACTATCAACCAGATATTGACTGGCTAGCCCGATCGGTCAAGCGTCGCAGTGATTATGATGTGAGCGAGGTGTTCACGCACCTCCTGGTCGCCCAGAAGGCTTGGCCTCACGTCACCGTCGTGGACCGGTCTTCCACGACGCACGTTGTGCACAGAGTGAGCGATGGCCCTCTCTGCACGGCTTGCACAGTACTGTTAACTGACGAATCCCCGCTGCGACGCGGGGATGAAGACCAACTGGCGGTCGAGCAGGGGCTCCCGCAGACGAATGAGATGGCGGTCGAGCAGGGGCTCCCGCAGACGAACGAGATGGCGGTCGAGCAGAGGCTCACATCAATTGAGCCGGTGGTCGAGCCGTTGGCGCTCCCGCTGAACACTACCGCGGTCGAGCAGGGGCTCCGGGGGGGGGGACCTCTCGGCCAACGAGAGCGACTCATCATCCTCGAGTTCGAACTTCGAGCCGGCGAAAGAGGATGTCGAAGCGGCGTCGGCTGAAACCTCACCGAGATCCCGTACCAAGTGACAGCTCACCGACGGAGTCGGTCTGCGTGCTTGAGTATGTGGAAGGTACCCCCCGACGAACACTCGAGCTTGCAAACCCGCCTAGCAAGGCAGGGTCGATCACTCGACTTCAAGGTCTCTCCTGGAAGAACTATCTTTGCGGCCTCAAGGCCGATGAAATCGAACAGGTTTGCCTGATCACCGACGGCGATTCGGCGTCGCTCGAAGTGAATGCAGTCAGTGACGACGTCTCGCGTCCAAAGAGCGCTGAACCGAAGTCGGCCCGCGAGGAGCGTTTCGCAGCGCGGTCTTGGGAAGCGCTACGCGAATCCGGCAATCCAGTCTACGAGTCCGCCCGCGAATATGAAGATGTCTTTCCGGATAAGATCCCAGCTGAGCTACCTGCTGACCGAGGGATTCGCCACGAGATCGATCTCGTGCTCGGCTCGAAGTATTGCGTGACGCGGCAGTGGCCGCTCCCGCGAGATCAGGTCCAAGCTATCGATGACTTTTTCGAGAGCCGCCGCAAGGCGGATCATGTGCGTGAGAGCACATCGCCACACTCCAGTCCGACCTTCTGTGTGAAGAAAGCCACGGGTGGATGGCGCATCGCCTATGCCTTCAACAAGCTGAACGACGCTACCATCCCTGCCCAGACGCCGATCCCTCGGAAGGACATGGTGCTCGACGCAATGTCGGGTAGTGAGGTCTTCAGCGCCATCGACTTGACCGATGGGCTCTACCAAATCCTCATGAGGCTGAGCGACATACCGCTCACAGCGGTAAGCACTCCCAGTGGTATGCTCTGGGAGTGGCTTGTTATCCACAAGGCTTGAAGAATGCTCCCGCCACGTTCAATCGCATGGTATCCCATGTGCTGCGCCTGCTCCGCGATTTCGCACCGAGTTACTTCGACGACATCTTCGTACACAGTCCCGCTGAGGGAGATCTCAGCGCGCTTGAAGCCCACTTGAAGCATCTGAGGCAAGTCTTCCAAGTGATGCGCGAAAACAAGCTGTATGCCAACTTAAAGAAGTGCATATTCTGCGCGCCGGAGATTCCGGTGCTTGGCTGCTTTGTGAGCAAGAACGGCGTCCGCGCCGACCCCGAGAAAGTGTCGTCGATATGTGCGTACAGAATCCCACTGAACTGCGTCAGTGGCTGGGTCTCGCAAATTATCTCCACAAGTACACGAAGAATTACGCCGGATTGATCCAGCCGCTCTCTTCGTTGTTGAAGAAAGATGTGTCGTGGTCGTGGACTTCCGCACATCAAGCCGCCTTCGACTCGGTGAAGAAGAGTCTCGCCGAGGCCCCAATCCTCGCGCTCCCGGATGACTCGAAGCCTTTTCACGTCGTCTGCGACGCGAGCGATTTCGCCATCGGCTGTGCGCTGATGCAATTCGATGAAGAAGGTCAAGAGCGTGTCTTAAGCTACCAGTCCAGGCAGATGAAGCCGGCGGAGCGCAACTACCCTCTTCACGACAAGGAGCTCCTTGCGATGCGCTACGCTCTGATCAAGTTCAGATTGTACTTGTTAGGTGAGGATACCTTCGCGGTGTACACCGATCATGCATCGCTGAGGACAGCGATGAAGAGTCCTCATCTCTCCCGGCGGATGGCCCGCTGGCTTTCCTTCTTCTCGGAGTACAACTTCGTTGTCCGTTACAATCCCGGCAAGAACAACATTCTCGCCCTCACTTTGTCTCGGCGTCCCGACTACGACCCACGCGGTGCATTGGGTCGACAAGCTTCGCTGGATGAAGACGATGTAGACGAGTGTGCCACGTGCGAGGCGTCAGGAGTCAGCCTGACTAGCGTCTCCCCGGTAATAGCACTTCGCGACGAGATCCGAGCTGCTTACGAGCATGACTCGATGTACTCCAGTATCCTGGAACATCTCCGCTCTCCCAGCGCCGACACACTGGGAGACCTTTCCCACTCTGTACGAAACAAAATCCACTGATATCGTCTCAAGGACGAGCTGCTGACGTACAGCATCGACAACTTCGATGCCCCACGTGTCGTTGTCCCTAACGACCCCGATCTGCGCTCACGGATTATCCAAGAGTTTCCCGATGCTTCGCTGGGCGTTCATCTCGGTCACGAGAAGACGTTTGCCACTGTGTCACGCGACTTTTATTGGCCCCACCTGTATAAATGGGTGTGTAAGTGGGTGCGCACCTGCGAGATCTGTTAGCACGTGAAACCGGCCTCGTCTTCGCAGTCCCCCTTTCCTCTACCAGTGGCCGCCGACGCCTGGCGCTCGGTGTCGATGGAATTCACTTCGGGCTCCCACCCGATGTTAACCGACGCTCAGGTGTCTTAGGGTTCGTAGCCCGCTTCAGCAATATGGTCCACCTGATTCCAGTGTCGGATTCGATCACCGCGGCAGATACCGCGGTGCACTTCATCGATGCAGTCTTCCGCCATCATGGCCTTCCTGAATCCATCGTCTCCGACCGCGACCCGCGCTTCACGTCGGCCTTCTGGTCGAAGCTCTTCGAGCTACGGGGCTCGAAGAGCTTCGGATGGCCAGACGGAGCGCGTAAATTGCGTCCTCGAAGACGTTCTTCGAAGCTACGCGACGTCGTTTTCGAGATGGAGCTCGTTTCTGCCTCTGGCCGAGTTCGCGCTGAACAACGCGGTACACGCGTCGACTAATAAGACGCCCTTCTTCATTAACAGCGCGCGACACCCGCGTGTCCCTGCTCCCCTCGCCGTGGGCTATCCCACAGCGCCGTGTGTCTCCACTCTGGGTGGGGAAGAAGCTGCCGACAAACCGTCTACTCCAGCTCCGCCGTCTCCGGCGGCAACACCGGTACTGGGTCAACCGGTACTTACAC